CTTGGCTGTGAATTCTGTGAGAGTTTGCAGTGAATTATGGAACCCAAAGACTGGAGTGAGAGTACTGAAGGCAGGAGGAGTAGTTGATGTCAGAGATGATGGCGTGGTACAACAATTTGGAAAAATTGGACATTTGGGATATCTTTAACCTCTGCCTAATAGGTGGCACAGTGGTTAAATAGATGGACTGCTAACCTAAAGTTCAGCAGTTTGAAACCACCAGCAGCTCCATGGGAGAATGATGGGGCAGTCTGTTTCCGTAGAGATTTACAGCCTTGGGAACTCTATGGGGTCACTATGAGTTGGAATCAACTCGATGGCAGTGGGTTTGGTTTTTTTGGTTTTGATAGGAACCAGCTTTGTACTGATCCTTCTAAAAGAAATTATGCATTTGGTAAGACATACAGAACAAGTTTCAAAAAAATTACTAAAACATGTAACTACACATTAATTCTACAATCATGCAAAGTAATATAGTATGTACTTCTTATAGACGAACGTACAAAGGTGAAGAATGAAGGTAGATATAAAAAAGAGAAACATGTAATTTGGAACGGTGGCTACTTTTGTGAGGTATGCAAAGAGTGCACAGAGGGCTTCACCTGCCTTTGTAATGTTGTAAATCCTAAGCAAAGTTCTGGAATATGGGTTTTTAAAAAATTGTTTATATGAATTTTTAAGTCTGGAATATTTTATGCTAGATTTAAAAGAATAAAACATTTCTTCTTTTCAATAATTTACCTCAATTTTAGTGTAGAGTCATATGCTCATGCTCCCTTAAAGTGTCCATTATGGGTTACTAAAAGGTTTCATTAAAAAATATTTGCATAGGTTCTTGAGGAAGATCCTGTTAAAGAAAACAAATTAAAATGATGCATAAAATAATTTTTAGAGCTCATTGAATGCTTCAAAGCACTGACAAGTCATATAAAGAGCTGCTTGGCAAAAATCTTAACAAAAGCAAGAACCCAGAGAGACAAGTACTAGATCACGTAATTGATTTTTATTCTTGAAGGTCCTTGTTAATCCAGACAAGGTTACAAATCCAGGCAAGGTTCAAGTTTGGGAGGCTCCCATGACCACCCACAGGGTCAGTGATTCATAGAAGTACTCACAGAACTCAGCAAAGCTGTTATACTCATGGTTACTGTTTATTACAGCAAAAGGATATAGGTTAAAATCAGGAATGGAAAAAGATGCAGACAGGGACTATTTCTCCCAGTAATGATGTATGGCAATATACATGGAGTATTGCCAGACAAGGAAGCTCATCTGTACTTTAGTGTCTAGAGTTTTTATTGGGGGTCTGACACATAGACAACACTGACCACCAGGCCCAATAAGAGGTTAAGCAGATGCTACATGGCCTGAGATTCTCATCATAAGTCATATTGTTATCATACTTTATCAGGTGTGACCCAATCCTCACCATAAGACACATTGTTATCATAGACTGTCTCATGTGACCCAAAGCCCCCAGGTAAACAAAGACACTCTTATCAGGCAGAATGTTCAAGGGATTAGAGGAACTGGGGGCAAATGGCTAAACATTTTGGGGGCAAGCTTAACCCATCATTGAATACAGAGTGTCTGTGTGAGTCTTGGAGACAAACTTGGCTCCCTGAGGTAGGACATAAGGTAAGAGTCCCTTTCATTGAGGTTTCTGTAGAGCAGCTCCGGAGCCTGGGCCCCTTTGTTCTCCACCAGACTCAGCAGGGTCTTATTCTTCCTCTGCCATCTCTGTGCCTGCTCCACAAGCTCCTTCTCATTCTCGGTGAGGACCTCCCTGTCCTGAAGATCATCCATCACCCTGCCCAGGTCTCCCATGCTTGCTTGGAGTTGCCAGTGGTGCTCCTTCAAGAAGGCTGATCCTGGATGGGAGAAGGGGTTACAGACTCAGAGAGGAATATATCACTTATGGGATCCAGGACCTATCCCCACCCAAAAGTCCTAGATCTGTGGAGGGACATTGCTCTGCGTCTGTGCATGTTGCCCAAGACTTACACACACAATTCAAAGGGTACACAGTCCATTTTCAGTGGTCTATAAATTTAGACGCATTCAATGAATGTTTCTTTCTCCATTCCACCCCTCTGCTTCAAGCTTTGACAACCTGTCCTTTCCATGTCTTTGTTTTTCATTTAAACCCTAGACCGACTTTTATCTTGGTGTATATTTATATATTCATTCCTCTAAAATTTCAACAAATATCTTCAAGTCCACTGCTTGTCAGAAGCTGTGCATGATGCTAGAGATATGGAGATGGGTTAGGCTGGTTCTCTGCCATTGAAGCTTTCCTGACAAATCTGTGAGGAAGAAATTTAACTATATAGCTCAACACAGGAAAAACAGAGATACCCTGGATAGGAAACATGGGATTTTTCCATCATGCAGACTCAGAGTTCATATTGGCTCCTGTATTTGATATCTTTGTAGCCTTTGCCAAGTCATTTCGTGCCCTGCACCTTAGTTTCTACTATTTGTGTACAGTGGTGCTTCTAATTTTATTTTTTTTTAACCACAGTGGCAGGGATAATGAACACTCATTTATCTGGGGCTATAATCCAAACAGCTTACTTAAATGATTAAATTTCTTTGAAGTTTTCAGATTTATTTTGGAAAATTCATTGGAAATTGACATTCAAGCCAATGTGACAGTTCGAGGAGTCTTCTCTTCATGGGAATGTGTGAGAATATGTTCTTTCTTCTCTGGGGGTCTATTACAAAACATGGGGCTTGCCATTTTGACTGTGTGGAACCTGATAGGAAACCCTGGTGGTGTAGTGGTTAAGAGCTACGGCTGCTAACCAAAAGGTCAGCAGTTCGAATCTACCAGGTACTCCTTGGAAACTCTATGGGGCAGTTCTACTCTGTCCTATAGGGTCACTATGAGTTGGAATTGACTTGACGGCCATGAGTTTGGTTTTTATTTTTTTATTTTTTGAGTCTCTGGTACAACCAACTAAAACTATTTTAATTCCATTCTGTAAGGTAAGGATTCTGTTTTGAACCTTAATATACTTCTGGAGCACAGTTAAGTAGAGGCTCACTCACTACCCATTAGGGGCATTTATCAGAGGAAGGAAGAATTTTTCCAATATTCTTTCGGCTTCTATTTGCAAGCCAATGGGTTAGGAAACATGACAGCTATAAAAAATTATATCACATTGTCCTCCATAAACTCATAGTCTAGATAAAGGCATTTTAGAAGTGAAATAGCCACATTAATTCATGTCTGAATTATTTCGTGTTTGTGATTTTTTGATGATGTAATGTTTTTTCACTAATGGAATGCATGCTGAATCATTGAGTGTTAATAATTTTTTGTTATGTAAGAGGGATTTTTATAAATATTATGTGGCACACATATGCACCAGTGGACCTGGAGGTAGGATAGGTGGAATGAGGCAGGGAAAAATCATTTTATTTCAGCAATTTTATTTTATTAAGTGAAACTTCTTAAAACATGAGGTAACACATAGAGGCACCCTGCACTGGCTGCACACAATTGTTGTTCAAGTCTGCTTCTTCTTAGTGCTACATTCTCTGCATCACCTTCTGGTTCCCTTGACAGGTAAATGATTTCCAGCCTGTTGGAGCCGGACAACATTTGGCACACCACTGACTCCTGGCTTGTTCTTGACAAGAAAAGAAGGACTTCTTTTGATTTCCCGGCCCACAGTGTGCCTAATGAAAGTGATCCTGAAGGACAGTTGGTTACATCTGCCCCCATTGTTACAGTTCCACATTGTAAAACTATTTACAACACCAAAGTCAGTAAGGAAATACAGAAATTGATGCAACCATTTGACAGAGCACCTTCCAACTGCATACCTTTTACCCCTCTGGTCAAAGTAAGCCACTCCTCCCATGATTGCATTGTAGTTTGCAATTGCTCTTGGGCAACGGGTTACTGAGGAGGAACTGTCTTTGTTCTTTCTTCTGACAATAGTGATGTCCTTCGGATTGTAGAATGTGTACAAAACGGTCACTGGTTTATTGTTCTGCCACTTAACTGCCAACACACGTTCTTTTGTACAAAACAGAGATTCTTCCCGCTATAATTTATCTTTCCTCCTCATCATTCCTGATAGGCCCTTTTGAGTTGCTCGCACTGTGCAACACACAGTCCCCTGTTGTTCATGGTTTTCATCAAGTGATAGGAGAAGAAACTGTCAAAGGCAATGAGTCTGTGTGAATGGTTGTATGAGTGACATAGTCAAAGTACAACGCTCTCACCGAGGGAGAGAGATGAGTCATTGTCCACACCTTTTTATCAGGAATAGATTTTGGTGATTTACAAAGCCAGTTCATAAGTCAGCCAAGCACCAAACTTTATACTCGTGCTTGATGGGCTTCACTGGCATGTACTGTTTTATTGAAGAACGACCCTTGAATGGCACTACGCTTTCATCAACTGCCATGACACTTAATGGCACATACACTTCCTTTAGGTGGCTATTGAGAGACTTGATAATGGGTGCAATTTGTGAAGCCAGTTGTAGCCGTGTTGTCCTTTGTACACAGCTTTTGAATTGTCATTGCAGTGTATGTTCTCAGTCAGTTTCTTGAATCTCGTTTTAATGATAAGCTCTGGCACAAAAGTAACACCCAGGATGTGGTCACTGGACCAATAATGTCTGAGCTCTGGCAAGACACAGATTCCCATCAGTATACTCATGCACAACAATGAATGTCTTTATCTCTTCAACCATTATAGGCTGCCATTCTAATCTCTTGCCCTCTGTATCATCTTGCGCACTCCTGGGTCACATACAGATTGGTTTGGTCCTTTATAATTTCCAGTGTCTCTTCCGTAAAGACAGACAAAAAAATAATCTACTGTGGTATCTTCATGGGTCAAGTCCAGCTAAACTTTAGCATCTGGCTGAAGTCAGTTTGTTATCTGTTCAAAGTAAGCGACATCTTGGCACCGTTCCCCTTCTTTTCGTCGCTATCATCATGGCCATCATCTGGTTGACCCCTTTCCTGTGCAACAGAAACTGCTTCATCATCTTCTGATACTGTGTCTCTGGTGCTGTTGTTATCAGGGCAATGAGCTTCAGATTCCTCAAGACACGAAAGCGCCTAGGAGGCACGTTCATCACACTCTGGCTCAGAAACATCCTCATTCTCGGGTAGAAAAAATAAAAGTTCTAGAGCTTCTTCAGCCATTTTTGAAAAAGAGAAGTGTTTCAGGAAAAAGGAATTCCAGGATCAGCAAAACCAGGATAATACCGATACCATACTTCCAAACCCAACATGAGAATACACACGGGGAGATATTGTGTAATTCAGCTTCCTGCAAAAATAAAACCCCCAAAAGGAAGTGTTGTCATGGGAATATTACCACTGCGATAAATTACTTCTTATTGCAAAACAGCTACTTACAGCTCATAAATCAGAAGATAGGTCCTTGATGATTGCACGAAACACACATGCAGTACATCGAGGATGCTAAAGCATGTCTTTACACTGTATTTATTGTGCCCGAAAATAAGTTATTCACTTGAATATTACCTAATTCCCAAAACCGCACCTTCCCAATAACACACAGGAAACCATAAATATACCTACAAGGCTTATCTTGCTGTTCAAAAGCCCAAGAGATGAAAAATGTAAGCAGTACTTACATGTACCTGTGGTTATGAAGTACATCAAGGGCGTGTGCTTACACTGTATTGTACCTGAAAATAACTTATTCACTTGAATATTACCTGATTCTGAAAACTGCACCTTCCCAAGAACATGCAGGAACCAGTAAATATATTTACAAGCTTTATCTCTCCATACAGAAGCCCAAAGAGACAAAAGTTTTACACAGTCACTCCTGCAGGATGCACTACCCCATACAATAACCTTTCAACACAGCAATATGGCGATGACGAACTTCCTTCTGTTTTATAGTTATGCGTGTCCCTGCCCCGACATCAGCACATACTATAAGTGGGGGAAAAAAAGTCTCCCAAGAAACTCCAGAGCTGGAAAGTGTAAGTAGTACTAATATGTACCTGCAGTCATAACTAAATTTGAAAAAAAATTTTTTTTTAAATGTGGTACTACCAGCACTGATGATAGTGCTGAAATTTGGATACTCTCATAAGATTTTCCAACTGGGGCTACCATTTTGGAAAATATTTATGCAATGTCTATCATTAAGCTCTGAATCAGGCATTACACTTTTGCCTAAAATTCTTGATATTGTTTAAAATTCTGAGGAATTTTGTGACTCCCTGCTTTTGCAGACTCTACGTATGTGAACACAGAATGAATCTTAGTTCCCCATAGGCTGTCAGGTATCAATATTAATTTCCTGGTTTTGACAGTGACTGTATTTTGTCATGACAATGCTTTTGACAATAATTATGGTTATATAAAGGTCCCTAGGTGGCGCAAACAGTTAGTGCTTGACTGGTAACCAAAAGGTTGGCGATTAGAGCCCACCCAGCAGCACCATGGAAGAAGAAGCCCTATGCTCTGCTTCTGTAAATATTACAGCCAAGAAAACCCTATAGAGCAGTTCTACTCTGTAACACTTGGAGTTGCCATAAGTCAGAATCGACTCAACAGCACAAAACAACTGCATGTTTATACAAGATAGTTTCGTTAGGGAAAATTGGGTGAAGAGTACACAGGAATTCTCCGTATTGTTTTTGCAAATTCTTTTGAATCTTAAAACATTTCAAAATAAAAGGTTATAATAAAACAAAGAAAACGGGAAAATACCACACTGATTTTTATGGAAAAAACCCAAACACGTTTGCTTCTCACGGACTCTATGAAATAGAGGAACAGGATTCAAATTCGTTTTTTCTCCCTTGGAGAAGATAGTTTCCCTTACCCATAAAAGCCAGAGTCATGAGATGCAGTCTAATCAGCAATGAGGCTAGCAACCTGTGGCTTTGACAGGATCTGACCAACCGAGTGACGTTGCAATGATCCTCCTTGTGTGTCTGTATTGTATTCCCATTCATGATATCTGGGAAAACACACAAAAAGTTGTAATGTGATAGGTGGGAGGAGCTCATGGTGGGATAGTCTCTTCACTGTGATATAGTAGAAGTGGCCCCAGGTCAGGCGTCCCATCTTGAAGGATACTGTCTCTTATACCCATCCTATAACAAGAGCCCATTCCTGTCCATACTTCATTGAATTCACTATGCTTCTGTCTCTGCTCAGAAGACAATGATCTTATCTCAGGAGGCATGTTTCATCCAATTCCCAAATGCTAATGTTCATCACAGTATGTATTACTAGTTAAGACTCATTAGATTCTGATTGAATTATATTGCATTCTTGGATGCTACAGGGGAATAAAAATTTCCTTACTCTTTCTGTATGCTCAACTAGTTTGAAAGAGAAGGGAATATTAACCTCTTTAAGATTAACTGAAGAATACTGGTTGGACTAAATTTCTTATGAAGTAAGTTTCCTTTTTTAGTGTGTGTCTGTCATGGATTATGGAGGTCAAAGAGACCTGAATTCAAATGTTTGCACTGCCATTTCTTGTCACCTTGCCTTTCATAATGAAATTGTTTCTTAACCTGTGTATCAGTTTTCTATCTCGTAAAATAAGGATATTATACCATAATCACAAATCCTTGTGATGATTAATAATAGAAGGATAAAATTATGTAATATGGGATCTACAAAACATTGGGTTCCCAAGGAAAAGAATTCATCCCAATCTTTCTCAATATTCCTCCATCTGTAGTCTTTTATGCATGCCATTGTATCAAATTAGAAACAAAGAAATCTTTGGTCATGTTCATTTACTTTGAGTTCCAAGTCCATGCTTATGAGACATGAACCTCTGGAAAGCATGCTGATGAGGAGCTGAAACACCATAAAAACAGCTCAGTGGATCAGGCTGCATTGTTCTGCTCAGATCTGAGATCTGTGCTATGGGATTGATAAGAGCATCACCAAACTATATAAACCATGCATCAGGGAAGCAGTTGGAGGAACAGCCTTACAATCACTTTTGCTCTGGTATGAAGTTATCACGGTCAGAGCCAAGGTTATTTTACTAGTGATGCAGAAGACAGGTCTACAAAATACACTGAGTACCCATGAGAGTTTTTGGGTTTTCCATTCAGTCATGTGGGGACAAGTGAATGAAGAAATATATTAGCGGAACTCTTTATTTCAGAAAACATCCATGATATTCTGTATCTCATAGAACAATATAATGACATGCACAGGAACCAAAGTCGTCAAAAGTCCTCACAGGGTATATACTCTTTCATCTTTTTGTTTGCCTTAGCCTGGACAAGGGAGTCCTGTCTTTAAAAGTTTTATATTCTTCCATTTATCGAAAGCTGTCTTTATCTCTCCACTGAGACTCTACGAACTTTGAGAAAATACAAGAAGATCGTATTTGAATAAGTTGGAAGAACCCTCAGATAAAGGTTACGTTTCTTTATCTCTACAAGATAGCAAAACTTGCTTATTGTAATCTTTACGGAAGCAGATGGCGATGTCTTTCTCCTGGGGAGCCGATGGGTGGGTTTCAAATCGCCAATCTTTTGGTTTGAAGATGAGTGCTTAACCATTGTGCCACCAGGGCTCCTTGGTTTTTTACTATTTTAAATAATATATTATGAACATTCATGTACAAATTTTTGTGTGTACGTATGTTTTCTCTGAGGTATATGTCTAGGAGTGGAATTGTTGAAGGACTTGATAGCTCTGTTTACCCGTATGCTAGATTGTTTCCAAAGAGGCTACACCATTTTACATTTCCACCAGCAGTGTATGAGGGTTTTAATTTCTCTATATCCTTCCCAATACTTGTTACTGTGTTTTTCTTTATATCCATCTTAGTGGGTGCGAAGTGGTATCTCTGTGGTTTTGAAGATTTATTCTTACATGATTGTAACACTAATACATTAGCATTGTACACACTTGGGACAATAACACAGGTAAATGGAGAATTACATATCACCTATAGCTCAAACATCCAGAAATAATCGATCTCAACTTTTTGATAATTTAATGGTATGTGAATATATATATATATGTATATTTAAATGGGTTAGTGTTGTGTACACCTTTCAAATTAGTTTTTTGTCAAAATGATACAATATTATTTTTAAGAAATGAAACAGTATTTAAAGGCTTACAACACAAACAGTACCACACCATCTTCTTCTGCTCAATATTGTTTCGAGGATCATCAAACCCACAAATGGGTTTATATTTTCTAGTTGCGTAGAAACTTTTGGGTGCACCTTATGCCGTCTTGGAACAAAATTCTCAATAACCTTATGATTGCACTGTATCCGACATAGTATGACTTCAGACTCTGTGTTGCTTATTTAAAATTTTTAAGAGAAGTATCTGACTAGCTCAGTTTCCATATTGAGTTGATTTCTTCTCCAATCGGTATTAGAGACGTAGAGATTAAAATATGGACTCTAGGTGGAAATATCAGGATCTTGACTCTGGGGTTATACTGTCTCAAAATCTTTCCCCTCCCTGGACAGAGCTGTTTCAGCGGAGCTTCCAGGCTGAGACAAACTAGGAAAAAAGGCCTGGTGATCTACTTCCAAAAATCAGCCAATGAAAATCATGTGGAGCACAACAGTCCAAATCCTATAGTGCGTGGTGTCACCACAAGTCGGGCTGACTTGACAGCAGCTAACAACAACATGATTCAATGAGTCGCCAAATTTGCAGTAACTGCAAGTGATAGAGATGAAATAAAGCCATTGAGTATTCGACACTAAGCCTCCCAGTCAACTTGTGGCGACCTCCTTCTAGATCTCAGTTTGCTTCCCACTTATTTTCTTATTTCAGTAGTATCCTATTCTCTCGCCTCAGTATTCATGTTTTCTCCTCTGACTTTATGTCTCTTGTTGCCTTCACGCTCCATGTTTTATGCCACCATTTCTTTCCTTCCTACTTTTTACCCTTCTATCATGTTCTCTGAGGGAGTCCTGGTGGTGCCACAGTTAAGCACTCAGCTGCTAACCCAAAGGTTGGCAGTTCGAACCTACCCAGCAGCTCCATGAGAGAAAAGATCTGGCAGTCTGCTCCTGTAGAGGTTACAGCCTAGGAAAGCCCTATGGGGGCATTTCTACTGTGTCACATGGGGTTGCTATGAGTCAAAAATCAACTCAGCAGCACCCAACAACAACAACATCATGTTGTCTGGTACAGTTGTCAATACCAAAGCAAAAAACCAAACCAGCTGCCATCAGTTCTGACTCAGGTGACCCCATGTGTGTCAGAGTAGACCTATGCTCCATAGGGTCTTCAATAGCTGATTTTCAGAATTAGATCACCAGGACTTTCTTCCAAGGCACCTCTGGGTGGACTTAAACTGCCAACCTTTGGGGTAGCAGCCAAGAGCTTAACCATTGTGCCACCATGGTTCCTCTCCACAGATATAAGTGTTAGGATTTACAACACATATTTTTGGGGGACACAATTCTACCCATAACAGATGAACTGTCTGACACAGACTACAGATGAGTCATGACAACATTTAAAATGTCACTAATCAATTTCTTCCGATATTAAGGCAAGATTTTCTATCCATCCTGACACGTGCTATGACATGGATGAACCTTGGAAATATTATGCTGAGTTAAATAAGTCAGTCACTAAAGGACAAATATTGTATGATCCCAATTATATGGAATACTGAGAACTGGCAAGTATATACAGACCAAAGTTTATTAATGGTTCCCAGTAGTGGAAGGAGGGGTAAAAGGAGAGACACGATGCTTAGGAAACAGTGAGCTTCTGTTAAGAGTGATGGAAAAATTCAGGAACAGTTACTGGTAATGGTTGAACAATATGATGAATGCATTTAATGTCATCGAATTGTACATGTAAAGACTGTAGAAGAGGCAAATGTTCTGTTACCTATATATTTTGTTGTTGTTGTTAGTTGTCGTCTTGTTGGTTCTGACTCATGGCGACCCCACGTGTGCAGAGTAGAACTGTGCTCCATAGAGTTTTCAAGGCTGTGACCTTTTGAAGCAGATCACCAGACCTGCCTTCCGAAGCGCGGCTGGGTGGGTTCAAACCACCAACCTTTCAACTAGTCATCAAGCTCCTAACCATTTGCACCACCCAGGGACCCCTCGCATATACTTACCACAATAAAATAAAAACAAAAAATATTTTCTATCTTTCTTTTGCTCACAGATTTGGGGATAAACTATTTACAGATGATGGTCATAACCAAGACAATATGTATAATTTTTTTAGTCAACATAAGTGAAGACAGTAAAATGATGTCCCTGATGATGGACCTCGGTAAGTAACACCACCTCACCCTTTGGGACAAACAAGGTGGCCTTCATGCGTTCTGTTGGCATCTGTTTTTATCTAGCCTGCTGGGTAAGAAAGGAGTCCTGGTGGTGCAACAGTTAAGTGTTCAGCTGCTAACTGAAAGGTCAGAGGTTCGAACCCACCCTGTGGTTCCACAGGAGAAAAGTTCTGGCGATCTGCTCCTGTCAAGATTACAGCCTAGGAAACCCTGTGGGGACATTCTATTCTGCCCCATAAGGTCGCTATGAGTCAGAATAGACTCAATGGCACACAACCACACCAACACTGGGTATTTATTGTATATATGCTGTCAGAAGATCCTGGGTAGGAAATGTGACAGCTCCTTTGGGAGAAGCCAGTGGTTTTTCGCAAGATTCTGATATTTAGGGGGATAAATCCCTCTTTCCTTTGACCCTGCATAGACCAGTAAACACCAGTTGCCATTGAGTTGATTCCAACTCATGGCAACCCCATGTGTATCACAGTAGAACTGTGCAGCATAGGGTTTTCAATGGCTGATTTTTCAGAAGTAGATCACCAGGTCTTTCTTCTGATGTGCCTCTGGGTGAACTTGAAGTTTTGGTCAGCAGTCAAGCGATTAATCGTTTGCACTACCCAAGGGTGCCATGCTTAATTAAGTGTTTATTGAGTATGCAAGATAGCGAATGGTTTTCGATCTCCAGATCACCCACAGGGCATAAGAAAGGTTCTGTATAGTGTTCCTGGTGTTGCTGTGTGCCGTCGAGTAAATTCCGACTCACAGTGATCCTATATATGACAGAGTAGAACTGCCCCATAGGGTTTCCTAGGCTGCAATCTTTACAGGAGCAAATTGCCAGGTCTTTTATTCTGCGGAACGGCTGGTAGGTTCGAACCGCCAACCTTTTGGTTAGCAGCCAAGTGCTTAATCACTGCACCACCAGGACTCCTCTTAGTGCTCCTAAGAGGTTTATGGAGTCCCTGGGTGGCGCAAACAGTTAAGCACTCGACTACTGGTAGAAAGGTTGGCAGTTAGAACCCACCCAGAGGTGACTTTGAGGAATGGCCTGGCAATCTGCTTCTGAAAGGTCACAGCCTTGAAAAGCCTATGGAGCATACTTACACTCTGCACACACAGACTTGTCTTGAGTTGGAATCAACTGAAAAGGCAACTGACAACAAACAACAGTAAGGTTCAGACTTTGGAAGCTTGGCTGCTAGCCAAAAGGTTGGCACTTCAAACCCCACCCCCACCCCCCACCCCCAGTGGCTCCGTGGGAGAAAAGACCTGGCAATCTGCTTCTGTACAGATTATAGCCTGGGAAACCCTATAGGGCAGCTCTCATCTGTCCTAAAGGGTCACAGTGAGTCAGAACCGACTCTACAGCATCTAACAACAACAATAACAATCTTAACGGAGCAGATCACCAGACCTTTATTCCATGACACCACCGAGTGAGTTCAAACCCCCAACCTTTAAGTTCATAGTCGAGCGCGAACTGTTTGCACTACCCAGGGACCTTGAGGTCTGAGGACCGCTTTTCTCTCGGAATCAAGTTTCCATTTCGTATTGAGAATGTCTAAAGAATCTAATGAGTAATAATTGAGAATTTTGTTCTCTGATTCAAGCCAAAAGCCAAGAGCTAAGCCCTGAAGACTATGGGAAATTCAAAGTGGCTACAAAGAAAATGGTTGTTCCATTAAAAAGCATTGTTAAAGTCAGGGAAACGGGTAAGTCACCATCTTCCGTTGGTCATATTGTTCATGTGACAAGAAAATATAATGTTGAGAACTAAACTGATCCTAATATATTTATTATCAGGTAATATATTTCTTTAAGTTTTTCAGTGGAGAAAAATTATTTATTATGTCATTTTCTTTCACAGATACCTGTGTCTAGAACTTTGATTAGGTGAGTGGATATCCATTTGACATAGATTCTTCCTGAATTCTATTAGGGAGGAAAGATGCCGGGTAACCAGGGATGGATTTTCGGGTCCTTGAGCATTCAATGCCATTGCAAGGTTTCTTGGCAAAACCTATCATTCACCCCTCATCCAAATTACTGAATTTTTACCACAAGAGAAATTTCTGGAGTCCCTGGGTGGTGCAAGCTGCTGACACACTCCGCTGCTAACCAAAAGATTAGAGGTTCCGGTCCACCCAGAGATGCCTCAGAAGAAAGGTCTGGACATTGACTTCCAAAAAATCAGCGATAAAAAAAGAGAGAGAGAGAGCAATTCCTTTGGTTCTTGAGTTTATTTTCATCTTCATATTATTACAGCAATGTTCTTTAGCCATGAATCAATAGTATAGCATACACCTACTCCTCACTTCTCGACTATCTCATTATCTGACATTGCACATTTATGACAATAGTAAAAAATCTACTGACTATTTTGCACATTAATGACGTATGTCTGGCACTAATGAACACTAAGGTGCAAGGTGAGAGTGATTGCCATGGATTGAACCGTGTCCCTAAAAATATGTGTATCAATTTGGCTAGGCCATGATTCCCAGTGTTGTGTGATTGTCCACTATTTTGTCATCTGATGTGATTTTCCTATATGTTGTAAATCCTACCTCTATGATGTTAATGAGATGGGATTAGTGGCAATTATGTTAACGAGGCAGAACTCAACCTACAAGATTAGATTGTGTCTTAAGCTAATCTCTTTTGAGATATAGCAGAGAGAGGCAAGTGGGGAGACATGGGGACCTCATACCACCAAGAAACAAGAGCCAGGAGAATAGTGCATCCTTTGAACCCAGGGTCCCAGTGCTGAGAAGGTCCTCGACAGGGGAAAATTGATGACAACAACCTTTCCCCAGAGCCAACAGAGAGAGAAAGACTTCTCCTGGAACTGACTTTCTGAACTCAGGCTTCCAGCCTCCTAGACTATGAGAGAATAAATTTCTCTTTGTTAAAACCATCCACTTGTGGTATTTCTGTTGTAGCAGCACTAGATAACTAAGACAGTAATACTGGCTTTGATGGTTAAGGTTATGTGTCAACTTGGCTAGGCCATGATTCTCAGTGGTTTGGCAGTTATATAATGATATAATTTCACAGTTATGTCATGATGTAGTCATCTTCCATCTTGTAATCTGATGTGGTCATCCTCCATTTTCACACAATGCTGATTTTCCAATAATAACCTGGTCTTTGGAACATACCCATGTCAATAAGTAAGGAGTGGGTGTGTTTGTTAATAAATGGATTACTGAGTGTTCATTCTTAGAAAAAGACCTTTGGAGAGAGATGGAATTGTCAGAATTTGATAAAAGTTGAGAGTGACAAAGACTAGATCTTCTTCATCGTTTTGCCATGATGACCCCACCTTTATATTTGTCTATGGTAATGTGACAGGGGGTCATGGGAGAATCACGGGTAATTTTTGTTTTGTTTTGCTGAGGATCTAGTATTCCAGAAAAGGAGCCCTGGTGGTGCAGTGGTTAAACACTTAGCTGCTGACCGAAAGGTTGGTGGTTGGACCCACCAGCTGTTCCACGAGAGAAAGATGTGGCAGTCTGCTTCCGTAAAGATTACAGCCCCAGAAACCCTATGGCAGCAGTTCTACTCTGTCCTATGGCATTGCTATGAGTCAGAATCAACTGGATGGCAAGGGGATTCATATTCCAGAAACTTTATATGTATTATCTAACTTAACACCTACAAAGACAACTACAAATCAGATGTCATCTTTTCCTACTGATGAGTTCAGAGAGTCAACAGGATATAATCAATGTCACTGAACTGTACGTGTAGAAACTGTTGAACTGGTGTGTATTTTGCTGTGTATATTCTCAACAACAAAAAATAAATTATTTTTTTTAAATGTAAATCTCAAAAAAAAAAGAAAGAGAATTAGCAGGCAGGCTGAAGAGACTTTAACACCATCACATACTTTAAAAAGTGGGAGCCAAGATTAAAATCTAAAATAAAACCCAAACTCATTGCTGTCAAATCGATTCCAACTCATAATAACCCTGTAGGACAGAGTAGAACTGCCCCATAGGGTTTCCAAGGAGCAGCTGGTGGATTCGAACTGTCAACCTTTCCGTATACAGGCAAGCTCTTAACCACTGTGCCACCAGGGCTTCAGCTGAGGTTAATAGTCAAACACAAACAGTTTGTGCCACCCAGGGACCAGGACTTTCAAAAAAAAAAATTTCATCTTGTCTTGGGATAAAATTGGAAAGAAAAATCTTTAATCCATAAATAATTAATAAACCCATGACGGCCAGATCTAGGAGATATCTTGAAGCCACATAGATATTTCACTTCCAGAGCTTAATGCAGGTGGAGAGAGGGCAATGGAACTATGGTTAATAAACAAGGCATTTCTGTATGTCTCCAGGCCATTGATACGCAAACGAACAATTCCTAAAATTAGTTCTGGTTCAAGGTCTCATCAGAAGAAAGTTCACGGGGTTGTCTCCCCACTGTGTTTGAGGAGAGAGAATTAGCCATGAGAATTATTCAAACACACTCCTAACACTTTCTTTTCCCTTGTAGCTACTTCTGCCTCTTCTTAGGTCTGCCCATTTTCACTGTGTCAAATTAGCCACATGCTTTCTGCATTTGGAAGACATAAACACCTAGAACCATCAGATTCATCCCCATGAAGAGAAATTTGCCTTTGCTTTCAAATATGTTCCATATTCTCTCTCTCTCCTGTTCTCCACAGGCCACACCTATTTTCCCAATTATGTGCGTGACGCGTTTCTTAATCTTGGATTTCTTGATCTCTTTTTTAACTTTAAATAAATGCATTTAATAGAGATGTCTTTGGAGATCATTATTTTGTTGTGGTAGACAGAATAATGGCCCCTTGTGTAAGATTTTGTCTTAGAAACTTAATAGAGAGATACATCTATTATGCATAAACTTGTTTTGTTTATTGCAAGGTAGTCACGGCAAGGCACGCAAGTAGGATCTCAAGACATTCATTTAGAACTAGAGAATCAGAAGTAACAATTAAAATGTTGGTTCAGCACAACTAGATGGTGCCCGACCGCCACCACAGATGTTGCTCTGACAGGGATCACAATAGACGGTCCAGGACAGAGCTGGAGAAAAACGTAGAACAAAATTCTAACTCAAAAAACAAAAAAAAAAGGCCAGACTTACTGGTCTGAAAGAGATGGAGAAACCCCGAGAGTATGGCCCCCAGACACCCTTTTAGCTCAGTAATGAAGTCACTCCTGAGGTTCACCCTTCAGCCAAAAATTAGACAAGCCCACAAAACAAAATGAGATTAAATGGGCACACCAGCCCAGGGGCAAGGACAAGCAGGCAGGAGGGGACAGGAAAGCTGGTAATGGGGAACCCAAGATCGAGAAGGGGAGAGTGTTGACATGTCGTGGGGTTGGCAACCAACGTCACAAAACAATATGTGTATCGTTTAATGAGAAATTAGTTTGCTCTGTAAACCTTCATCTAAAGTACAATAAGTTGTTTTTCTTTTTTAATCACCACTAGGTAGTATTAGGTAATAATTGTTGCAGGTAAAATCCCACCAACGGATAATAAAATCCAGGGGCAAAAGTTTGAGGAGAAAGAAGGTATTTGTATAGTCTCAAGATATTGATCAATTACAAAGGAAAAACGGTAACTTTACAGTGGACAAACGCAGCAGACAGCACCTTAACTGAGTGATCAAGATTAACATCATCAGCAATATGACATAGTGACATCGTGAACCCCCGATATGATGAGCTGAGAAGAACACAACATTCCTTCTGTGATAGTCTTGCCAAAAATACATTCTGCCAAACTAATGATGAGAGAAAAATCAAACCCAAACTGGGAGACATGCTTCAAAATAATTGTGTCTGTAAATAAATGACACCAAAGTGCCAAGTGTCAACATCATGAAAGGCAAAGAAACACTGAGACACTCTCAGATTGAAGGAGACAGAGGCCATGTGATGACTATATGCAACATGGGATCCTGGAACGGAAGAAGGACATTAATGGGAAAACTGGTGAAAACTGAAGTAGGTTTGTAGTTTAATAAATAGTATTGTACCAAGAAAAAAAGAAATCAACCCCTGAAAACCCTATGGAGCACAGCCCTGCTCTGACACACACGGGATTGCCATGAGCCAGGTTGGCTCGCTGACACTTGGTCTGGTGGTGGGAAGGAAAGAAATGATGTAAGCGACTCAGAGAGGTTAAAAGCTTCATTTGACTGGTGTACGTGAATATCACCCGGTGACTCCCTAATTGAAGCAAGTTCCAGGTTTGTGCGTGTGTGTGTGTTCAATAAGTTTGTTTTGTTTTTTTTAACAGAGTCCGTGTCCCTGTGGTTGGGACTTAGGCAGCACTTTCCGACTTAAACTGCAGCTTGTAGTTGGAGGTCGTTCCTGCCTCAGGGGTCCCTCACTGGGTGGGGGCTGGAGGTGTTGTTAGTTGCTGTGAAGTCAATTCAGGCTCATGGCGAATCCACGTGTGCAGAGCAGAACTGGTCCACAGGGTTTTCAAGGCTGTGATCTTTCAGAAGCAAACTGCCAAGCCTTTCTTCAGACGCACCTCTGGGTGGGCCCGAACCACCTACCTTTCAGCAAGTAGTGGAGTGCTTAACCGTTTGCGCCACACAGGGAGCCCTATAACCATCAGAATCGTCTGTCCTGAGAACTGTTCTTGCATACCTTGTGGTTTACGTGCTAGACAAAGTTCACAGGGTGGGGGAGGTAGATAGTATAAATTAAAAAGGGGTGGGGGGCAAGAGGGAAAGTGGAACCCTCTCTCCTGTCGTTTTCAGTCATTCTACAGGACAGAGAGAACCCTATAACCACTGGAGTGTAATCAACAGGGTTAAACTGTTCCCCCTCCATCCATCACACCCTGGGTCTGTGGTCAACTAGCTCCTGATGAGGCACCCGGTGTAGGAGCCCGAGGGCACTTCACGGCTACCCCCTCCATTCGGACATGCGCAATAAGACGCAAAGCTGTCCTTAGATGAACTTCGTTATGTCACACCCGGAAAAATACACACCCCCAGCCGCCATGACACTGCACCCCCACATATGTTAATTAGTTCCCAGAATTGCCCGCATATTCTCATAAGCTTCATGTATTATTTCTAAGTTCTCTCTCCTGAACCCTATAACTCCCCTGGAATCCCCAACTTCACGAAGCTTGATTTGAGACTTCCTCTCCGAGCTCCTTGATTGACTGGCTTGCAATAAAGTCTTTCTCTTCCTCAAAGGCCTGATATCTTTCAGTTGACTCTCAAGGGGTCGAACCAGGCGGGACCCACGCTCATCCACTTACTGGCCGGACGCAGGTATTGCCTGGGATCTCCAGAGCTTGCTCACGAAATCTGCCAGGGGGCGCGCTGCAGCTGCGCAGAGCCGGAGCTGGGAAGCCTGGAAAACCTGGAACCGTGAGCGTGGCCGAGGGAACTATGTGCCCTAAAGGTTGCGACGCCAAACGGACCTTGGAAGTCCTGTTGCCTCCAAGCAACCACTTGAGACCCCCAGCTGGGAGCGCCTGGGGAGAAAGTCCTGCAAGAAATGTGAATCCGCTAGGGATGCGATCAAACCTGGGCACCTGGAGGTCAGGTCTCGGGGGCGGGCCGGGGCGCAAACCTGGGAATCACCCTCCTGAATTCTGGGTTTCATCTCTCTAATCCCACTACCCTGTATTTTGAGGAGGGGATCTGGGAGCAGGTACAAATTGCTTAGGCCAGAGCTCTGGTGGGAACAGCAGCAGCAGGAATCGCTCGCTGTAGTCTGTGGTTGTGGAACAGAGGGTCATGGAGGGAAATCGCAGTTCCTGGGCCCTCGTTATTTTTATTATTTTTTTACAGTCGCATCCCCCGTGTATTACACTGCTTGCGCGCTTGGTCTGCAAAAAGACATCTAGAAGCCGGGGAGAGTGAACCGGTAAGCGTGACAGGTTAGTACAGACTTAAAGGCTGAGAGCAGGGCCGTTGTGCGTTCCAAGGAGGTGGAAGCAGATGTCTGCAAACGCCCGCGTCTTTCCGCTTGGATGGAAAGGGGAAGCCGTGGCTGCACGCCAAGTCCAAAGCGTGCCCTCCACTTTGCCCCAAGGGGAAAGGGAATCTCCCTCCAGGCTGCAGCCGTGAAAAACCTCGCTTCCCCGGACTTGGGCAGTGTAGATATCAGCAGGCATTTGTCCTCGTGGTTGTGGCGTTACTGTGGCTGTGGCTTGTCTGTCTGTTATTTGTTGTTAATTGTCATTGAGTCCATTCCGACTTACGGCGACCTAATATGCAAAGTAGAACTGTGCACCACAGGGTTTTCTTTTTCTTTTTTTTCTTTTCTTTTCTTTTTTTTTTTTTTTATTATTTTACTCTTTGTTGTTCCTGCTGAGAATAATTTCTACATGTACAATTCACTAACATTGTTGATAAATTCAAGTTCTGCAACCATTCTCACCCTCCTTTTCTGAGTCGTTCCTCCCCCATTCACATAAACTCAACTGCCCTCTGTGGGTCTTATCTAATCTTTCAAGTTGCTGTTGTCAGTTTGATCCCATGTAGATGGATCTTAAAAGTGCACAGTGCTCAAGGCAGACATTCTTCACTAAAAAACCAAACCAAACCCGTTGCCGTGGAGTCAATTCCTAATCGTAGTGACCCTATAGGACAGAGTAGAACTTCCCCATAGAGTTTCTAAGGAGCACCTGGTGGATTCAAACTGCTGACCTTTTGGTTAGCAGCGGTAGCACTTAACCACTATGCCACCAGAGTTTCCATTAAGCTAAACTATTGTTTGGTTTTAAGAAGACTTCAGGGGATATTTTTGTTTTCTCCATAGGGTTTTCAGTGGCTGTGACCTTTCAGAAGCAGATCGTCAGGCGTGTCTTTGGAGGCACCTCTGGGTGGGTAGTAGTCGAGCACTTAACCATTTGCACCATAAATTGTTGGAGTCAGATTGTGTGTGATTAGAGTGAACTGAAAAATTCTGGGCACGTCAGGTTGAGAGGAAGCCCATCTGGGTTTTCTTGGAGTCCCTGGATGGCACTCAGCTGCTTAAAGTGAAAGGTTGGAGGTTCAAGTCCACCCAGAGACCCCTCGGAAGAAAGGCATGGCGATCTACTTCTGAAAAATCAGTCATTGAAAGTCCTATGGAGCACAGTTCTACTCTGACACACACAGGTTCGCCATGGGTTGGTATCGACTCACTAGCAATGGGTTTTCTTCATCTGGTTGATTGACTGTAGTTGGCTGATGATTCAGGTGAGGCAGGTTGCTAGATACAGCTGAACCAAGAAGCCTGAGGTGGATGCAGCTGTTGACATCCACAGACTCCTGGAAGGGGCCTGGAGGACCATCTTGATCCTATAGCTGCAAATTTCACCCTCAGACGATGTTCGTGAGACAGGTGGCCTTGGCTCCATCCCCTGCGGGTGGTAGGGTGGTAAGCTCTTGGATTGGTGTTCCTGCTCGGATCCCAGACTTAATGCGGCCCACGGAGCACCGGGTGGGTCCAGGGGTCAGGGGCTGGTGGGAGTGGGCCCCAGAGGAGATGATACGCAGATCAGGGCCAAGAGAACTCAAGAAGGAGGGGGTGTCAGACAATCACAGTCAAATTAGCAGCTTGGACGTCAAGTTCCCTTCTTGGGAAATGGGACTTTTAATCACTTTCTCAGTAGCAATACAGCCTACAGCCTTCTCTTCGGGTTTTGGGTGAAACCGGGCTGCTCTTATTGTTGTTGCTGGATGCCGTTGAGTAGATTCTGACTCATAGTGACCTCATGTGACAGAGTAGAACTACCCTATAGGGTTTCCTAGGCTGTAATCTTTATAGAAGATCACCAGGATTTTCTCTCACAGAGCCACTGGGTGGGTTCCAACCAACAACCTTTCAGTTAGTAGCTGACAGCTTAACTGTTGCTCCACCAGGGCTCCTTTTGGGCTGCTCTAGCTGTGTGAAAATAGTAGTGTGCATGCATGTGAGTGTGTATTAGTTTTATGTGCATGATTATGTGCACGTGTGTGAGTGTGTATTAGTTTCTCAGGGCTGCCGTAACAAAGTACTTACAAACTGAGTGGCTTAAAACAACAGCAATTTATTGTCTCACTGTTCTGGAGTCTAGAATTCCAAAATCAGGGAGTCAGCAGGGCCATGCTCTCTCTGAAGGCTTTAGAGGAGGATCCTTTCTTGTGTCTTCCAGCTTTTGGTGGTTCCTGGCAATTCTTGGCATCGCTTGGTGTTCCAGTCTCTGCCTCCATCTTCACATGGCTGTCTTCTGTCTGTGTGTGTCTCTGTGTCTCTTTTCTTTTATAAGGACACCAGTCATGCTGGATTAGGTTCCACCTTATTCCAGGATGACCTCATGTGAACTAATAACATCTTCAAGGACCTTATTTCCAAGCAAAGTCAGGTTCACAGGTACCAGGGTTTAAGACTTCAGCATATCTTTTTAGGGGGATACAATTCAACTCTTAACTGTGTGTGTGTGTGTGTGTGTGTGTGTGTGTGTGTCTTTGTGTGTGTCTGTGTATGTCTGTGTACATATATCTATGTCTATATCTGTGTGTCTGTGTGTGTATGTCTGTCTAGATGTGCTCGATTAGATTAGTGACAGGTGTTGTTCAGGAATGCAAGGATGCCCGCGTTCTCATGGTGCCTTTCTTCTCCCTGAGCTCGGCCTTGCCTGCTGCCTTTATGGAAACCCAGAAAAACATGGCCTGACTGCTGTGCTGGTGATGAATATGTCTCAGCTAAGTAAGCAGCTAACCCTCCTCTAGAAGGACATTCTTGTTCCCCCCACGTGAGCATGCCTCTACAAAATGCCAGGAGTTGATAAAGCAGGCAGAGCCAACCACTGCCCAGATCCAGGGGTGCTCTCCCCCATCTCTACACCTTTTTGTGAAGAGAGACCCAGGACCCCCCAATACTGACTGATCCTTTCAACTCCTCATCCAGGCTGACTATGTGCTTCAAGTTGTGCTGCAAAGCACACTCATAAAAGGATATGAAATATCTTGATCAAAGATTCTATAGAATCCTGATCAAAAGTAGGAAGAATACAGAACAGAATGAGCCATGGAGGCTGGATGAACGCCTGAAACTATTACCCTGAAATAATTTTTAAACCTTAAACCAAAACTATTCCCTGAAGTCTTCTTTGAACCAAAAAATAGAGTATCTTAATAAGTAAAGTATGTCTACTTTGAGCAGTGTACTCTTTTAAAGAATTATCTATGTGATATCAAACTGACAACAGCAACTGGAAAGGTTAGATGAGAAGCTTAGGGGTGGTGAGTTTAAGTGGAACAATTCGGAGAAGGATGGCAAGAATGTTTACACAACTTGAAGAATGGAATCAATGTCACTAAGTTGTACATGTGGAAACTATTAAAGTGATGTATAACTGTGTATATTTTCATCATCAAAATTAAAAACAATAAAAGGATATGAAAGTGTTTTTGTCGCAGGGAATCCAAGGTTTCACTGTGGAGACAAAGTAGATTAGTGATTGCCTAGGGGATGGCAGTGGTGGAGAATGGGAGTGACTGCTTAATGGGTACTGGATTTCCTTTTGGAGTGATGCAAATGTTTTGGAACTCCATAGAGGTAGTGGTTACACAACATTGTGAATGTTCTAAATGCCACCGAACTGTTCACTTTAAAATGATTAATTTTATGGTATGCGAATTTCATCTCAGTAAAAGGAGCAAGCATTGGTCTCCTGCCAGGAGTATATATGGGACTGTTCTAGACTTTGGCAATAACAAGGGATAAGCATGGGACAGTGCACAGTCTATTGGCAGAGATTTAAGTCCAGTTGCTTGTTGAGGTGTTCTTGAAGCTGCGGGTCAGGATGAAACGACTTCTTGTTGTATGTTACTGTCGAGTCGATTCTGATTCATGGCGACCCATGTGTGCAGAGTAGAACTGCTCCATAAGGTTTTCAAAGCTGTGACCTTTTGGAAACAGATCTCCAGGCCTTTAGTCTGAACCACCTCTGGATGGTTTTGAATTGCCAGTCTTTTAGCTAGTAGTCAAGCGCTTAACTGTTTGTGCCCCCCAAGGACTCCTATGAAGTGACTTGTTGTTATTGGGTGCCATCAAGTCAATTCCAACTCATAGTGACCCCATATGACAGAGTGGAACTTCCCCATAGGATTTTCGTGGCTGTAATCTTTAAGGAAGCAAAACTCCAGGCCTGTCTTCCATGGTGAAGCTGGGTGGATTCAAACTGTCAGCCTTTAAGGTTAGTAGTCGAGCACTTAACCGTTTGTGCCACCCAAGGACTCTGTCATGAATTGAATTATGTCCCCCAAAAAATGTGTGTATTAATTTGGCTGGGCCATGATTCCCAGTATTGTATGGTTGTCTTCCATTTTGTGATTGTAATTTTATGTTAAAGAGGATTTGAGTGAGTGAGATTGTAACACCCTTACTAAGGTCACATCCCTGATCCAGTGTAAAGGGAGTTTCCCTGGAGTGTAGCCTGCACCACCTTTTATCTTACAAGAGATGAAAGGGAAGCAAGCAGAGTTGGGGACTTTATACCACCAAGAAAGCAGCACTGGGCATAGAGCATGTCCTTTGGACCCGAGGTTCCTGCTCAGAGAAGCTCCTATTCCAGGGGAAGATTGATGATGATGAGGACCTTCCTCCAGAGCCGACAGAAGGAGAAAGCCTTCCCCTGGAGCTGATGCCCTGAATTTGGACTTGTAGCCTACTAGACTGTGAGAAAATAAATTTATCTCTTTGTTAAAACCATCCACTTGTGGTATTTCTGTTACAGCAGCACTAGATGACTAAGACAGACTCCTGTGAAATGACTTGGGGAGTAAGTATTGGTGGAGAGGAGAAAACATGGCTGAGATGCTGCTGAAGCCACAAGTCTTGTGACCATCTTGGAAGGGAGTGTGGACAAAGAACCTGCGAGCAGAGCCTTAGGTAGATGATGAGGAACCGTAGTTGTCGGCTATGAACTGGAACTCCTATGAATTGGAACTCCTCCAGGACTCTGGGGCCCACCATCTCCTGGGGACACTGATGCTCACGGCTCCCCTATCTTAGTTACCTACTGCTGCTGCAGCACAGATACCACAAGTGCGTGGCTTTAAAGAACAGAAATTTATTGTCACAAGTTCTGGAGGCTCAAAGTCCAAATCAGGGTCTCAGCCCTGTCGATTCCTTCCTCATCAGTAGTCTGGGTGTTACTTGGCTCCTTGGTGATCCTCCCATGTATCTGTCTTCCCCACCATGTGAATGTCTCTGTGTCTGTGTTGTTAGTTGGCCATCCAGTCAGTTCTGATTCATGGCGACTCCATGCATGCAGAGTAGAACTGCTCCATTGGGTTTTCAAGTCTTTGGCCTTTCAGAAGTAGATCACCAGGCCTGTCTTCCAAGGTGCCACTGGGTGGGTTTGAACTCACACCATCCTTTTGGCTAGTAGTTGAGCATTTAACCATTTGTACCACCCAGGCACCCCTCTGTATCTATGTTGCTTTGTATAAAACTCAGAAGTGATTAGATGTGGGATCCTCCCCACACTGGTATGACCTCAACTGACTGATTACGTTGCATTACATCACATCACACATTGCATTACATACATTACATTACATGGATTACGCTATATACATTACATTACATATGTTATATTACATTGCATTATGGAAGATGATTACATCAGATTCCATCCTCAGGTATAGGGGTTAGAATTCCAACACATATTTTAGGAGAAGGACACAATTCAATGCATAACACCCCCTAAACCAAAAATGAGTATGTTGTTCTAGAACCCCGTGACCTTCAGGGATGTGGCTGTGAACTTTACCAAGGAGGAGTGGGCCCTGCTGGATCCTGCTCAGAGGAAACTCTTCCGAGATGTGATGCTGGAGAACTACGGGAACCTGGTCTCCATAGGTAAGGATGCCACTCCTTCACTAACTCAGATGGGGTGAATGCCAGGTTAGCACCTCCAGTGGTCTGGGGTGTGTGCTGAGAGATGGGAACTGGGTCTTTAAATTACGGAGACATGGCCACAAGGAGCAGACATAGGTTTCCCCTCAAGGCTGAATAATCCATCCATTGTACTACATTCTTATTCTCTTCAAGATTAAAAGCCTTTGGGGATCTGTAAGTGGGGTCAGTGGTAGTTCAGTGTTAAAATTCTCAGCTTCCATTCTGGAGACTCAGGTTCGATTCCATGCCAAAGCACCTCACACACAGCCACCAACCTGTCTATCAGTGCAGACTCGGGCGTGGCTATGATGCTGCAAAGGTTTCAGTAGAGCCTTCAGACTAAAACAGTAGGAAGAAAGGTCTGGTGATCTACCTCCAAAAATTAGCCAGTGAAAACCCTATGGATCACAATGGTCCAGTCCACAGCCCATCATGGGGACGGCGCAGCACCAGGCAGCGTTTTGTTCTGTTGTGCGTGGGGTTGCCAGGAGTCAGGGGCCGACTCCACGGCAGCTAACAACAAGTGAGTTAACCTGGGGCACAGAAAAGGGTAGTTCGAGCCCTTTGGGCAGAGTTTTGGTGCATCATAAGAAAGACAGAGGAATTATTCTGCTGCTCGTATCCTCACATTTGCTTAGCTGCAGGGCCCCTGCAAACCAAAGCAGGGGCTCCTGCTTCATGGCAAGTCTTGTTCCAGCACCGTTCCCTTACATCATGTGCTTTCCCAGTGAGCAGGATCTCAACTAGGGAAACTCAGTCTGATCTCTCATTTGGAGCAAGAAGTGGATCTAGAGATACAAACGAAAAACAGTTGAGTCAACCACAACTCGTGGCAACACCCTGAGTGTCAGAGTAGACCTGTACTCCATAGGGTTTTTAATGGCTGTGACTGTTCAGAAGTAGATTGCTAGGGCTTTCTTCCAAGGTACCTGTGGGTGGCCTCACACCTCCAACCTTTCGGTTAGCAGCCAAACACTTAATCATTTGCACCACCCAGAGACTCCTCCTAGGGACATGTTGGTGTCATTAGGTGCCATCTAGTCGGTTCCAACTCATAGCAACCCAATGCACAACAGAACGAAACACTGCCCGGTCCTGCGCCATCCTCACAGTCATTGTTAATGCTTGAGCCTATTGTTGCAGCCACTGTGTCAGTCCATCTCATTGAGGGTCTTCCTCTTTTTTGGTGACCCTCGACTTTACCAAGCATGATGTCCTTCTCCAGGAACTTGTTTCTCCTGATAACATGTCCGAAGTATGTGAGACGAAGTCTTGCCGTCCTCACTTTCGTTCTTCTGGTAGTCCATAGTATATTCAGTATTCTTCGCCAACACCATAATTCAAAGGCAACAATTCTTCGGTCTTCCTTATTCATTGTCCAGCTTTCACATGCGTATGAGGTGATTGAAAACACCATGGCTTGCGTCAGGCGCACCTTAGTCCTTAAAGTGATATCTTTGCTTTTTAACACTTTACAGAGGTCTTCTGCGGCAGATTTGCCCAGTGCGACGTGTCGTTTGATTTCTTAACTGCTGCTTCCGTGGGCCTTGATTGCGGATCCAAGTAAAATGCAATCCTTTACAACTTAAATATTTTCTTCCGTTTACATGATAACATTGCTTATTTGTCCAGTTGTGAGGGCTTTTGTTTTATGTTGAGGTGTAATCCATACTGAAGGCTGTCGTCTCTGATCTTCGTCAGTAAGTGCTTCAAGTCCTCTTCACTTTCAGCAAGCACTTTCAGCAAGTTGTGTCATCTGCATATTACAGGTTGTTAATGAGCCTTTCTCCAATCCTGATGTCATGTTCTTCTTCATGTAGCCCAGCTTCTCGGATTATTTGCTCAGCATACAGATCGAATAAGTATGGTGAAAGGATACAACCCTGTCGCACACCTTTCTTGACTTTAAACCATGCAGTATCCCCTTGTTCTGTTTGAACAACTGCCTCTTGGTCTGTGTACACATTCTTTATGAGCACAATTTAGTGTTCTGGAATTCCCATTCTTTGCAGTGTTATCCATATTTTGTTATGATCCACGCAGTTGAATGACTTTACATAGTCAGTAAAACACAGGTAAACATATTTCTGGTATTCTCTGCTTTCAGCCAGGATCCATCTGACATCAGCAGTGCTATCCCTCGTTCCACATCCTCTTCTGAATCCAGCTTGAATTTCTGGCAGTTCCCTGTTGATATACTGCTGCAACCGCTTTTGAATGATCTTCAGCAAAATTTTACTTGGGTGTGATATTAATGACATTGTTTGATAATTTCCACGTTCTGTTAGTTCACCTTTCTTTGGAATGTGTACAAATACAGATATCTTCCAGTCAGTTGGCCGGAAACTGTCTTCCAGATTTCTTGGCATAGACGAGTGAGCACTTCCAGCGCTGCATCCGTTTGTTGAAACATCTTAATTGATATTCTGTCAATAACTGGAGCCTTGTTTTTCAACAGTGCCTTCAGTGCAGTTTGGACCTCTTCCTTCAGTATCATCGGCTCTTGATTATATGCTACCTCCTGAATGTTGACCAGTTCTTTTTGGTACAGTGACTCTGTGTATTCCTTCTGTCTTAGTCATCTGGTGCTGCTCTAACAGAAGTACAAGTGGATGGCTTTAACAAAGAGAAATGTATTCTTTCACAGTCCAGTAGGCTAGAAGTCCAAATTCAGGGTGTCAGCTCCAGGGGAAGGCTTTCTCTGTTGGCTCTGGAGGAAGGTCCTTGTGATGTATCAGTCTTCCCTTGGTCAGGGAGCATCTTAGCGCAGGAACCTCAGGTCCAAAGGACACGCTCCGCTCCCGGCACGGTTTTCTTCCTGGTGTGAGGTTCCCGTGTGTCTCTGCTCGCTTCTCTCTTTTATATCTCAAAAGAGATTGGATTAAGACACTATCTAATCTTGTAAACCTCATCAGTATAACCTCATCACAGTGACAGAATTTACAACACATAAGGAGATCACATATAACCTCATCATAGTGATAGAGTTTACAACACATAAGGAAATCACATCAGATTACACAATCATACAATACTGGGAATCATGACCCAGCCAAGTTGACAGATATTTTTTGGGGAGGAAACAATTCAATCCATGTCACCTTCCATCTTCTTTTGATGCTTCCTGTGTCATTTAATATTTTCCCTATAGAAGGCTTCGTATTGCAACTTGAGGATTAAATTTTTTCTTCAGTTCTTTCAGCTTGAGAAATGCCAAACATGTTCTTCCCTTTTGGTTTTCTATCTCCAGGTCTTTGCACATTTCATTATAATATTTCACTTTGTCTTCTCGAGCTGCCCTTTGAAATCTTCTGTTCAGCTGTTTTACTTCATCATTTCTTCCTTTCCCTTTAGCTACTCTACATTCAAGAACAAGTTTCAGAGTCTCTTCTGACATCCATTTTGGTCTTTTCTTTCTTGTCTTTTTAATGACCTCTTGCTTTCTTCATGTATGATGTCCATGATGTCATTCCACAACTCATCTGGTCTTCAATCATTAGTGTTGAATGCATCAAATCTATTCTTGAGATGGTCTCTAAATTCAGGTGGGATATAATTGAGGTCATACTTTGGCTCTTATAGACTTGTTCTGTTTTTTAATTCAACTTCAATTTGAACTTGCATATGAGCAATTGATCGTCTGTTCCATACTTGGCCCCTGGCCTTGTTCTAACTGATGATATTGAGCTTTTCCATTGTCTCTTTCCACAGATGTAGTCGATTTGATTCCTGTGTCTTCCATCCAGTGAGGTCCACATGTACAGTGGCCATTTATGTTGGTGAAAAAAGTACTTGCAATGAAGAAGTCACTGGTCTTGCAAAATTCTGTCATGTGACCTCCAGCATCATTTCTATCACCAAGGCCATATTTTCCAACTACCAGTCCTTCTTTGTTTTCAACTTTTGCATTCCAATCACTAGTAATTGTCATTGCATCTTGATTGCATGTTTGATCAATTTCAGATTGCAGGAGTTGGTGAAAATCTTCAGTTCCTTCATCTTTAGCCTTAGTGGTTGATACATAAATTTGAATAGTAGTCATATTAACTTGTCTTCCTTGTGGGCTTATGGATATTATCCTATCACTAACAGCGTTGTACTTAAGGATAGATCTTGAAATGTTCTTTTTGACAATAAATGTAACACCATTCCTCTTCAAATTGTCATTGCTGGCATAGTAGACCATATGATTGTCTGATTCAAAATGGCCAATACCAGTCCATTTCAGCTCACTAATGCCTAGGATATCGATCTTTATGCATTCCATTTCATTTTTGATGACTTCCAATTTTCCTAGATTCATACTTTGTACATTCCATGTTCTGATTATTAATGGATGTTTGCAGCTGTTTCTTCTCATTTTGAGTCGTTCTACATCAGCAAATGAAGGTCCTGAAAGCTTGACTCCATCCACATCATTAAGATTGGCCCTACTTTGAAGAGGCAGCTCTTCCACAGTCGTATCTTGAGTGCCTTCCAACCTGAGAAGCTCATCTTCCGGCACTATATCAGACAGTGTTCACCTGCTATTCATAAGGTTTTCACTGGCTAATTTTTTCAGAAGTAGACTGCCACCTCCTTCTTCTTGGTCTGTCTTAGTCTGGAAGCTTAGCTGAAACCTGTTCACCAAGGATGAGCCTGCTGGTATTTGAAATACTGGTGGCAAAGATTCCAGTATGACAACAACAGGCAAGCCACCACAGTATGACAAACTGATAGACATGTGGGGGTCTAGGGACATAGAAGAGGATTTTACTTGGACAGTTGTACAGCTGAGTGCCAGGTAGATATGAGTCATTATGAGGAAGAATTTCACAAACAATGTGAAAATGTTAAGAATCCATTTCATTCTCGTGGAATCTAGACTTTCTGGATCCATGGAGACTAAATGAACCCCTGAAACTATTGCCCTGAGATCATCTTTAAACCTTAAACCAAAAATATCCCCTGAAACCTTCATAAAACCAAACAATAGTTTAGCTTAACCAGTAAAAAATGCCTGCCTTGAACATTATGCTCTTTTAAGAACTGTCTATATGGGATCAAAGTGACAGCAGCAACTGGAAAGATTAGATAGGATCCTTAGGTGACAGTGGGTTTATGTTACTGGGGAAGGAACAACTCAGAAAAGGAGGGTGAGAATGAGTACACCACTCGAAGAATGTAATCAGTGTCACTGAATTGTACATGTACAAATTGTTTAATTGGTGTATGTTCTGCTGTGTATATTTTTAGCAACAACAAAAAATAAATAAATAAATTTTTTTTTTAAAGAATCCATTTCATCTGCTGTGGAAAACAGGTTGGTGGTTCTTCAAAAAGTTAACTATAGAATTACCATATGACCCAGCAATTCCACTCGTGGGTAGATACTCAAAGGATTTAATACAGGTGTTCAAACAAATACATATGCATGCATGTTTGTGGCAGTGTTATTCACAGTAGTCAAAAGGTAGAAACAACTCAAATGTCCATTAACAGATGAATGCATAAATAAAATATGGTGTATACATACAGTGGAATGTTATTCAGCCATAAAAGGAATGAAGTACTGACAACGTGCTACGATGTGGCTGAACCTTGAAAACATTATGCTGAGTGAAATAAGCCGGCCACAAAGGTCACATATTGTATGAATCATTTATATGAAATGCCCAGAATAGTTAAATCCATAGAGTCAGAAAGCAGATTAGTGGTTGCCTGGGGAAGGAAGATCAAAGAATTGATACATTGGAATTGTGGCATTGGCGAAGAATATTGAATATGTCATGGACTAACAGAAGAACAAAGAAATCAGTTTTGGAGGAAGTACAACCAGAATGCTCCTTAGAAGTGAGTGTGGTGAGACTTCTTGCTTACTTTGGACATATTATCAGGAAAGACCAATCGCTAGAAAAGGACATCATGTTTGGTAAAGTAAAGAGTCAGTGAAAACGAGGGAAACCCTCCAGTAGATGGATTGACACAGTGGCTGCAACAGTGGACTCAAACATACCAATGATTATGAGGATAGTGCAGGACCTGGCAGTGTTTTATTCTGTTGTATATGAGGTTAAGAGTCAGCGCCAACTTGACAGCACCTACAACAACAGAGAGTGAGGGTGGGGGAGAATGGGGAGTGACTGCCTAATGAGTTGTTATTGTTTGATGCTGTCGAGTTGATTTTGACTCAAAGCAATCCCATGTGACAGAACTGCCCCATCGGGTTTTCTAGGCTGTAACCTTTACAGGAGCAAATCACCAGGTCTTTCTCCCACAGAGCCACTGGTCGAGTTCGAACCACCAACCTTTTGGTTAGCAGCCAAGTGCTTAACCATTGTACCACCAGGGCTTCTTGCTTAATGGGTACCAGGTTTTATTTTGAGGTGATATAAATGTTTTGGAACTCAATGGAAGTGATGGTTGCACAGCGTTGTGAATGTACTTATTGCTACTGAATCACACATTTTTAAATGGTTGCTTTAATTTTATGTGAATTTCACCTCAATTTTAAAAATAAAATCCATTTCATCTGAGAAGAAAGCCAAGGTAACTTTTCTATGTGTGAACTTCAGGGATATAGAGCTTCTATTTTTTTACTTGCATCTCTTCTCTCATATCACCTTTTTTTTCTGGAAGATCTGTCCCCCTTTGTGATGGTTAAGATTTTGTGTCAACTTGGCTGGGCCATGATTCTCAGTGTTTTAATGTAATCACTCCCATGATTGAATATACTGTGAGTAGCCAATCAGATGAAAGGGAGTCTCCTTGGAGGTGTGGCCCGCATCTGTATATAAGCAGACGTTCTGGCTTTTTGCTCACTCTGGATCCTGCGGCTGCCTCCTGTCATCTCATCTCCCATTCTTGGGACTTGAGCTGTCAGCTTATCTGCCAATCCTGGGATTTGTCGATCTTCACAGCCTGTGAACGGGAGCCCTGCTCTCCGACCTGCCGATCTTGGGCTTGCCAGCTTCTGCAGCTGTGTGACTTGGGAGAGGCCTCTACCCTGATCCTTGGACTTGGGATGTTCTAGCCTCTACAATCACGTGAGCTGTTTCCTTGATATATATATATATATATATATATATACACTTTACGGGTTTTGTTTCTGTAGTGAACCCAGCCTAAGACACCCTTCTTTTAAATCACATATGGACTGTATACCGAGTTCACTTCCACTTGGCATTCCTGATCATGCCCTCAGTCTGCACAGAACATTTGTTAATAATTTGCCACCCATATTGAACCCCTGTCCTTATCATAGTCAAACTACAGACACAGCCCAAATCCCAGATGTCTTTCTCTGCCTACTAGTACAGTCATGCGCTGCACAATGTCCATGCAGGCAACATCTGACAGCATATACATCCATGGTCCCCAGGTTACAAACGTCCAACTTATGTACAACCTGTCGTTATGAACCAACCCCTGTAAAGCCTATTATATTAAAAATTCAAGGTACATACAATGGTTCATAATAACAAATGGGCTACTTTGCAACACACAACAAAACATTATTACTGTGTTATGTTAAAGATGTTTTAGTGTTTCTGGAAGTGTTTCCTTAATGTTTTTTATGCATAGAAAGGTGCAATATATACACTAAGACAAACATTTGACTGACTGATGTTAGATACGAACCATAACTGTTCTTACTACGTACAAATTCAACTTAAAGACAAATTTAGGAACATAACTCATTCATAATCTGGGGACTGACTGTATACAATATGGTGTTTGCACAACGTCAAAATCACATGACATCCTGTTTCACGGAACATACTGTGGATGTCAAGCAATGCATGACTATACTTTCTTCACCTTCACATATTGTATTAGTTAACTAGGGCTGCTGTAACAAATTACCACAAAGTGAATGGCTTAAAAGAAGAGAAATTTATTTTCTCACAGTTCTGGAGATCAGAAGTCCAAAATCAAGGCTGTGCTTCCTCCAAAGTCTCTAAGCAAGGAGGCCTCCTTGCATCTTCCAGCATCTGGTGACTTCAGGCGTTCCTTAAATCTTGGCTGCGTCACTCCATTCTCTGCCTCCATCTTCACATGGCCTTCCCTTCTGTGTTTCTCTTCTGTGTCTGTGTGTCACAAATTTCTCTCTTTTTTCTCATATAAGGATACTTGTCGTTGGAATTAAGACCAACCTATATAATCCAGGATGATGTCATCTCGAGATCCTTAACTTAATTACATCTGCAAAGACCCTGTTTTCAAATAAAGTCACATTCACAGGTAGCAGGGATTAGGACTTAAACATATCTTTTTTTTTTTTAAATTATGAAATACACATAACAAAACACCCACTTTAACCATTTTTAAGTGTACAATTCAGTGACATTAATTACATTCACTATGTTGTGTAACCATCACCACTAACCATTTTCAAATGAAAGACAGTAACTCAGTACCAAAACCAAAAACCAAACCTGTTGCCGTTGAATCAGTTCAGACCCAAAGCGACCCTACAGGAGAGAGTAGAACTGCCCCATAGGGTTTCCAAGGAGCGGCTGGTGGATTCGAACTGCAGACCTTTTGTTTAGCAGCTGACCTGTTAACTACCGCACCACCAGGGCTCCAGTAACTCAGTATCCCTTAAGAAGTAACTCCTTGGTTTGCCCCTTCCCTCAAGTCCCTGGTAACCACTAATAAACTTTTGTCTCTGTGAATTTGCCTATTCTAAGTATTTCATATAAATGGGACCATACAGTATTTGCTTATTCTAGATAGTTCATATAAATGGAGTCATCCAGCATTTGTCTTTTGTGTCTGACTTATTTTACTCAGCATAATGTTTTCAAGATCCATCCGTGTTGCAGCATGTATCAGAATTTAATTTCTCTTTATGATTGAATAATATTCCATTGTATGGATGTACCACATTTTGTCTATCCATTCATCTATTGATGGACACTTGGGTTGTTTCCTGGCCATATCTTTTTAGAGGACGCTATTCAACCCACTCCACATATATTGGGTGAATATTTGAAAAGAAATCCACATTGCCTATTTTATCATCTTCAACCCACTTTTACTTTCTACAAAAAATAAGTTAACTTTTGTTCTACTTTATTTCAGATTATGACATTCAACTTAAAACCAAAGGCTGAACCCCTCAGCAGGATATTTTTTCTAAAGAAACATTTCACAAGGAAAACAGAGTATGTCTCACAAGCAACAATTCCCAATCCTCTACATTAAGAGAAGAACCTCACAAGGAAAAACAGAGAAATTTGAAGCAAGTTACATTTGCCGAAGAGAAAAGAGAGTCTCTGGTTGGAGTCTATGAACATCATGAAATGAAGGATAACTCTGAACCCAGCTCAAAGCTTATGCCTTCACAGAGAGATTCCATGAGGAAATATATTATGAATGTGACTCACATGTTTTAAAACATAGTCCTGTCTTAAGCAATAATCAGCAAATCTATAAAAGCAATGACTATGATAGTGATAGTGTCTCATGGCAGAACATTCTGTTGATGCAGCATGAGAGAACTCAGGCAGAGCCGAAATCAAAATCTTGGACTGAACATCAGATCGGTGTGTTTTATATGCATAATAAAAGTCATATGGGGCAAACATTCATGAATGGAACTCATTTGGAAAAGACTTTGGTAAACTTCACCCTTAATACATAGAAGAAAACCCACATTACAGAGAAAACTTATGAATCCAGTCAGTCTGGGAACACCTTCAGAAATAACTATCCATTTTGGGCAGAGGAAATCCTACACTGCAGCAGAGGCAAATAATGAGAATAATCAAAGTGAAAAAACCTTTGCCCAAATTAAAAATTTTGATTCATCCAGAACTAGTTATGGAGAGAAAAGCTATAAATGTTGCCATTGTGGGAAAGCCTTTGTTTATCAGTCATTCCTTATGAAACACATGCAAATTCACAGTGGAGAGAAACCCTATGAATGCAAGGAATGTGGGAAAGCCTTTAGATATTCCTTATACCTTAATAAACACATGGTGAAGAGGTCCTATAAATGTAAGGAATGTCGGAAAGCCTACACTACGTCTCCAAAACTTAACATATGAAGACTCACACTGGAGAGAAACCCTACGAATGTAAGGAATGTGGGAAAGCCTTCACTAATTCTTTAGGACTTAAAAAAACACGTAAGGACTCATAGTTGAGAGAAGCCCTGTGAATGAAAGGACTGGGAAAACCATTAATTTTCTCAACATACTGTACATATAAACATAAAAACCCATTGCCATTGAGTCAATTCCAACTCAGAGTAGAACTGCCTTATAGGGTTTCCAAGTAGTGGCTGCTGGATTTGAACTGCTGACCTTTTAGTTAGCAGCCGAGCTCTTAACCACTGTGCCACCAGGGCTCCACACTGCACATATAAAAAGGGCATGTTGGAAGGAAGCTCTATGCATTAATGTGTGTGGGAAAGTCTTCCCTGAATGTCTTGTCTTACTGAAAAGAAACCTTATGGAGATAAGCTCTGTGGAAAGCCTTTCATCTCTCATCTTTAGAAGACATTTGTCCTCACACTAGAGAGGAAAACTATGAATCTAAAGAATATGGAAAAGACTTCAGTATTGTCTCAGAAAGATAGTCCATTATAAGAATTCACACTGGGAAGATACCTTATGGGAATAAGGAATGTGAGAAAGACTTCTTTAAATACTCATCCCTTAAATTACTCATGACACCACACACTGAAGAAATAGTCTATGATTGTAGTAAATATGAGAAAAACCTTCATATTACAACTTTTCACTTACTAAGCACAAAACCAAACCAGCTGCCATTAAGGCTGTTCCAACTCATGGCAACCCCGTATGTACAGAGTAGAACTGTGCTCCATAAAGTTTTCAAGGCTGTGAACTTTTGGAAGCAGATCACCAGCCCTTTCTTCCGAAGTGCCTCTGAAAGGGTTCACACCACCAGCCTTTTTGTTAGTAGTTGAATACTTAACCATTTCAACTCTACCACTTATGTTTTAATCATTATAATTCACTTATATCAATATGGTCTCATTTCCAATGTGAAGCCTTCTTTGAAGCCGTGTTATTTAAGCTTGAGGTGAGTATTTTCCATGATACCGTTTTTGTTGGTTGTAACTGAGCAGTATCTATATTTGACTGCATTATGGTCAGAGTATGTGGTCTTGCTATAATATTAATTTGGGATACTTGTTATGACTCATTTTGGTCTAATGTGACCAATTCTGTCAGTTGTCTGGTCATGTCAATTCTTACCTTCTTTACTAAAGAAACATAGTTGTTCTTTTTTCCAGAATAAGTACAGTATAATGTTTCCCAGCTTTTCTCATAGGTGGTGGTCGGCAGAACAACAGTCTTGACCAGTGAGGAGTGGGCAGAATTCACTGGTTCGGATTCCTGGAGAGATGTTGGGAAAAGGAGAGTATTGTTTTCCTTTTTCTCTTAACCAAGTTCCTTTGCCCTCTCTCCTTGTTGCTCTCTGAAAATTCAATGAAAAGCCCTGAGTTGGGACTTGTAACTTTAGAACTAGTGGGATGAAAGTGACAGTTACCATGACACAGCCCAAAATACAAGATTTCTAGCTCCCCAACGGCACACTTTTGGGGATCTGCATCCAAAACATACTGAATTTCAGGAGTTGGTACATGAAACAGATAAACCTCTAATTGGAGTAAGAAGCATTTTAGGGGAGTTATTTTTATATATAGTAACTCAGAAGTAAATAAAACCTTAAATTATAAACCTAAGAGTGTAGCCAGGTTTTATGAGTGCTTCTTATGTGTTTCAAAACTGTGTATTTGTTGGATGGATTCAAGGTTCATTATATGTTCGAATGATCAAATTTCTTAAGAATGTTTTTAAGTATCTTACTGGCAGAATGTTTGTCTCAATCGTCTATTGAGTGAGTTTGCAATAAAATATCCCATTCTAAAAGTGGATCATTGGGTTCTTAAACTTTTGTCATTTCTTAATATATTTATAGACAGTGTTGTTAGGTGCATAGGGTTTTGGGTGTTCTCTTTATTACAGATGAATTGTTCTTCCTACTTTCATGTTTTACCTATCTTTTCTACTAACAATGATTTTTTTTTCCATTCATATAAGGGTAAAAGTTTATATGCCCCTTACCATGAACAAACCTTCTAAGTTCTTTATGTATTGTTATGGATTAAATTGAGTCACCCAAAAATATAGGTTGTAAATAATAACTTGGTATAAGGATTGGGATTTACAACACATATTTTTGGGGGGCGCAATTCAATCTGTAACAATATGTAAAGAATTTGGAAGGTTTGTTAATGGTAAGGGGCATATACCTGTGGTAAGGAGCCCCTGTGGCGCAGTGGTTAAGCACTTGGCTGCTTACTAAAAGGTCAGCTGTTCAAACCCACCAGTCTCCTTCGGGAGAAAGATATGGCAGTCAGCTTCCTTCCTTAAAGATGTACAGCCTTGGAAACCCTATGGGGCAATTCAACTGTGATTCTAATCTCATTTGGAGTGGATTTTCTTTGTTATGTTAATGATGCATGTTAGTATAGGGTGTGTTTTAAGTCAGTTTCTTTTGAGACATAAAAGACCAGATTAAGCAACCCCAGATGGGGAAAGATAGATGCCAAGCCACATAAAGATCACCAAGGAACCAAAAAAGCAGAAACTGAGAAAAGACAAGGACCTTCCCCAGAGCCCACAGAGAAAGAAAGCTTTCACCTAGAGCCAGTGCCCTGATTTTGGACTCCTAGCCCCCTAAACTGTGAGAGAATAATTTTCTGTTTGTTAAAGCCACCCATTAGTGGTATTAGTGGTATTTCTGTCAATAGCAGCACTAGATAACTAAGACACATATGTTACCTCATTCATTACCACTACCCCGTGGACACTTTTTATCATCTTTTTATAAATGAGGAAACTGAAGTACAGAATGTTAGGAAACTTGCTGAGATTTAAACAGCTTCTTTTGAGTTTCAAAACAGTGTTTTCATTTTCAAGTTCAAGGTTCAATACATATATTAGTTTCCTATTGCTGCTGCGGAGCCCTGGTGGCGCAGTGGTTAAGAGTTCAGCTACTAATCAAAAGGTTGGCAGTTCAAATCCACCAGTCACTGTTTGGAAACCCTACAGGGCAGTTCTGCCCTGTCCTGTAAGGTCCGTTTGAGTCGGAATCAACTTGACAGCAACAGTTTTATTGGTGCTGTAACAAATTACAGCAGAGTTTGTGACTTAAAACAACATAAGTTTATTATGGTCTGTAGATCAGAATCTGACACAGGTCTCATTGGGCTAAAGTCAAGGTGTTGGCCGGGTTGCATTCCTTCTGGAAGCTCTAGGGGAGAATACATTTCTTTGTTCTTTTCTAGCTTTTAGAGGCTGCCGACATTCCTTGGTTCATGGTACCCGCCTTTTTCCATCTTCAGAGCCAGCAGCAGGATGAGTCCTTCTCACGTCACGTCTCTGAGCCACTCTTCAGCCTCTTCTTCCACTTTTAAGAACTCGTGATAATACAGGATAATTTCCCCATCTCCAGCTCAGCTAATTGTTGTTGTTAGGTGCCATCTAGTCAGTTCTGACTCATAGCAACCCTATGTAGAACAGAACGAAACACTGCCTGGTCCTGCGCCATCCTCACTGTCATTGCTATGTTTGAGCCCATTGTTGCAGCCACTGTGTCAATCCATCTAATTGAGGGTCTTCCTCTTTTTCGCTGTCCCTCTACTTTACCAAGCATAATATCCTTCAGGGACTGGTCCTTCCTGATAACACGTCCAAAGTACGTGAGATGAAGTGTCACCATCCTTGCTTCTAAGGAGCACTCTGGCTCTACTTCTTCCAAGACAGATGTGTTCATTCTTCTGGTAGTCCATGGTATATTCAATATTCTTCACCAACACCATAATTCAAATGCATTGATTTCTTCTCCGGTCTTCCTTATTCATTGTCCAGCTTTCACATGCATATGAGGTGATTGAAAATGCCATCCCTTCATCTCTTCTCCTGGCGTAATCTTTATGGAAGCAGACTGCCACATACTTCTCCTGCGGAGCAGCTGGTGGATTCCAACTGCCAACCTTTCAGTTAGCAGCCAAGTGCTTAAACATTATGCCACTATTAGGTGCCATTTAGTCGATTCTGACTCATAGTGATCCTATAAGACAAAGTAGAACTGCCCCATAGGGTTCTCTAGGCTGCCATCTTTATGAGAACAGATCACCAAGTCTTTCTCCTGTAGAGCTGCTGGGTGAATGTGAACCGCAGACCCTTCCATTATCAGCCCAGCACTTAATGGTTGAGCCACCATGGCTCCTTTATATACATATGGCCTTGGAGATTCACTCTCTCCCTCATGGTCCTCAGTGCCCACCTGTAAAATTAACATTTATAACTATTGATTTAACAAACTTGTACCAGGTCCCCTTCTAAATGCTTTACAAATACTAATGTTCATAACTGAGTCCCTGGGTGGTACAGTTAAGTGCTCGACTACTAGCCAAACAGCAGTTCAAACCCACCAGCAGTGCCTTGGAGAAAGGCCTAGCAATCTACTTCTGAAAAATTAGCCATTGAAAACCCTATGGAGAACAGTTCTACTCTGACACACACAGGTTGCCATGAGTAGGAATCAACTCAACCGCAGCTAACAACCATGTTCATAACAATCCTATGAATTTGGTGCTGTTACTGAAAGAGGCTGCATAGGCCCAGCTCACTGTCATTTACTCCCCATAGCTAACCACCACATTGTCTCATGACCTTGTTTTTCCCTCCAGTTCTAGTCTCTAAAAAAGGTTTAAGATTAACTGATGTTCCTCCTTGGAGGGTGGAAAACAAGTGATAATGATCTAAGAATGACAAACCGAACAAAGCACCCATCTGGGGACAAGAAAACCAGGATGTCACCAGATAACCCCCAAGAAAAGATTAACTCATCTGAGATGTGACCATCTCAAGGGAAAACTAACACAAACTTCTAAGACCCATAATCCTGTCCCTATAAAAGCCTTCAGCCAATCTCCAGTGGGGGAGACGGGTTTTTTGGAGGAATCTATTCCCCTCTGTCTCTTATATATCAATATGTAATAAACCTCTTACTGCTCACCTCACCCCATCTCAGAATTGGCTATTGCAGCAGGCAGCTCCAATCTGCATTATTGCAGTAACAAATTTGGTGGCCCGTACGGGGACCTTCAGCTGCTTGAGACACAGTGGCCCAGGGCAGGGCCTGGGGCTGATCGACAGCTCTCCCAACAAGCGGCCACGAGAGGTTTCATTTGCCTCTGGGGAGACTGTTGGCCAGACCTGGGTCTGCCACGGCACCACTGGTCCCCAACCATGCCAAAAGAGGTGAGTGAAAGAAAAGCAAGACCTGCATAGGAGGGACCTCAAGGTGAGTCCGCGACTCCTCTCCTGTGCTTAGGGCCGGGGCAGATAGGGCAAGCCCGAGGTTTACAGAACGGGACCTGAGCCCTTGGTTTCTGAGGTAAGAGGTGCCTCAGATGACCAATCCCCGTGAGTAGGGTTGCAAGAAGGGACTCCTGGTGACTCTAGAGTCCTGGTTCTGGGTGTGTGAGTGCTCGTGTGTCTGAGAGGTTGAGATTCTCTAAGATCACCTCTGTTGGCAGATAGGGCCATCTGAGAGGTTGAAGGGGTCAAGAGCACCTCCGTCAGCTTGTGGGATTTCCCATGTGTCTAGGAGGTTGAGGTTCTCTAAGATCACCTCTGTCGGTAATCAGGGCTGTCTGAGAGGTTGAAGGGGTCGAGATCACTTCTGACAGCTTACGGGATTTATTTGTTTACTGTAGTTTTGTGTCCTGTCCATTTGTTTACTGTGGTTCTGTGTATCTCCTGTCCCTTGTCTCTGCATACCTAGTATTATATCATCTACTTGGGTGCCCTGATTCGGCTATTAGGGAAAGTGAAAATACCTCGGGTGAGACTGATTCTTTAGACAGCCATAGTATCTTAAGACTATGTTCACGAGTTAACCGATCTGGATCCTGAGCCCTGAAAAAGCCAGAGCAGTCAATATAATCTTTAGAGGGCAAAGTGCCCCCGATATTAAGAGAAAGCTTCAGAAAGAAGGAAACCAAAAGCTTGAACCTTATCGCTTAATGTCTTTGATAAATGAGCCTGGATTCCCCACCACCACCACTACTGATTCACTGGTTTGGGGTTCATATTTCAAAACACTGTAAACTGAGTTTACTAGAAGTAACTTGGAATTTCAGTGACCACTTTGGGAAAATGAGCTTTCATTTGTGTTGTCCATTTTTTCCTTTAGGGAACTTTGCTTGATGCTCAGGTTTTGTAAAAGGGTCCAATATTCCTCCATCTGAGGCTCCAGCAAGTTAACTAGTTTTATCTAGAAACTGTTTTTTCCATTGACTTGGGTTGATCTTACCAAAAAATTGCTATGTACACTTAAAGAAACTAGGGTCCACATATCCTTTTTGTGTGGTATTGTCTGGTGAGTTTATGTGGTCTTTCTGTCTCCTTTCGTCCTGAAAGAGCTTTGGTATTTACTGGGTAGATAACCTTTCAAAACGCCTCCATCAACTTAAACATATGTAAATGTCTTCCATGAGTCAAGAGAGTGAGGGCAGGGCATGATCAGGCCTCCTTAGCCCCCAGCCCCCAGTCTCCAAGGTCGTGTAGCTCAAGGGAAGCTTTTGAAAGACCCTTTCCAGCTAGGTGGAGACTCTTTTCAGACAAAATATAAGAAAAATTGCTGCTTTGCTATAGTTATCAGAAATTGAGTGGATCCTGATAATAGAACTGTAAACAAGTTATCTTATTACAGGGGAACTCTAAGAAGCCAAACAATAGAAATCACAATAAGACACACCTAAAATGGCCTGGAAAAAATGTTTCCAGCAGCAGTCAGAGGTTTAAAGTTGTATCTATATCAATGAATTGGTCAATGGAACAGAGACTTTGTGATTTCCAAAGCCAGTTGATAAAATCGTTAAGGGCTACAATTAGGTTGGGAAAAATATGAGAAATAGTAAAAGTTGAATAAAAACTTGGAATGTTTAAACAGACTTTGTTCAACAACAGTTATGTTTTATTATATACAGGCTTAAAATAATTCCCAATACATTTTAGGTAACTTGACTTCCAGGCAATGTGGCGGTCTAGGCAGAAGCACAATGCTGTCCTACCACAGCAAAGATCCAAAAAACTAAGTGAAACAGAGAAAACA